CAAGACAAGCAAGCAAAAGCCTTACGGACTGTTACAGCCTAACCCAGTGCCAGAGGGGCCTTGGGAAATGGTTACTTGTGACCTGATTACACAGTTACCACCAAGCCCAGACCATAGGGGAGAAAAGAAGACTGCCATTTTAGTAGTCGTCGACAGGTTCACCAAACATGCACACTTCTACCCAGTAGATGACATGGTGACAGCATCTCAAGTAGCATCAATTTTCTACAATGAAGTATTCAAACTCCATGGAATCCCCCGACAAATCATATCAGACTGAGGCACACAGTTCTCAGCCAAGCTATTCCAGGAGTTTTGTCAGAAACTTCATATCAAATCTACGATGTCTACAGCCTATCACCCTGAAACGGATGGACAGATCGAACGAGTCAATCAAATTCTGGAGCAATATCTATGCATGTACTGCAACTACCGACAAACTGATTGGGCCACACTATTGCCCAAGCGGAGTTTGCATACAACAACCAAGCCTCAGAATCGACAGGTCTGTCCCCATTTTTCATAGGCATGGTCGACACCCCCGCATGGCACCAGACATATTGAAAGGAATACAACATCCATCCCTGGAACACTTATTCCACAACCACGATCAAGCACAGGAACAAGCACATGCCGCTCTGACATTAGCAGCGGAAAGAATGAAATGGTATTTCGATCTCAAAAAGCAGGATGTCCCTTTCAAAGTAGGAGACGAAGTGCTTATTCGAGGAAAAGATCTCCATGTAAAGGTCAAAAGTCAGAAACTCGTGACTCAGAACTATGGACCATTCAAAATCCTTGAAAAGATCGGAACTGTATCATTTAAACTGCAACTACCGGCGGACATGAAGCTACATCCGGTGTTTCATGCTTCTAAGCTTATAATGTTCCATCAAGACTCTATTCCGGGATGTGTGCCTCCCCCTAACCCCCCAGTCATCATAGACAGAGAGGAAGAATGGGACGTGGAGGACATCCTGGATTCTAGAGTCAGGTATAACAAAACCCAGTATCTCGTTAAGTGGTTAGACTATGACCACAGCGACAATACGTGGGAACCACTGGAAAACCTCACAAATGTCAAAGACAAAGTAGAGAAATTCCATCAGACACACTCAGATGCTTCAAGAGCTAAGCTGCATACACGCAAAGCACACAAAATCGCCTTGTCGGACCACTCCGACGAGTTCATGGTCTTCTTCTGCACTCATCCAAATGCCCGAGCATCCTACAAGGGATCTCCAGAAGCTGTAGGGTGGAATGTCAAGTCCACACAAGACATAGCCATTCCCCCACATTCCAGGGTGCTTATTGGCACTGGGCTTGCAGTTAACCCCCCAAAGTGGACATACATTCGAGTGGCCCCCCGAAGTGGGCTAGCCCTCAAAGGAATTGATGTCGCAGCAGGGGTAATTGACCCAGACTACACAGGGAAAATCAAGGTGCTTCTCATTAACATGACCAGCACACCGTTTGAGGTCAGGACAGGCGATCGTGTCGCACAGCTCATATGCGAATATTACACCTCAGGAGTAATTACAGAGACAGACCGTTCACTCGCTGGGCAAACCATATAAGGTGACAAGGACTTTGGCTCATCAGAACAATGAACCTTGAGAAGGGGGTGATGTCACAGTTTTTACCTGACAAGTCATTATAGAAACAAATGTTATTAGAAGCATATCATTTTTCATCATTTCGCGTCGCACAACGAATCATGTGACCTAATGAGAGATAAGATAAAGGCATCTAGTCACATGACCTCAGATCTCTCTTGGCATTGTCACGTGACACTGAGCTCCTCAGGATTGCATCATATTGCGCAATCACCATGACGTCATATTGCATGCTCAAGAGGAGCTTCGTCTCCGTGAGTTATTATTAGGCAGCCAATCAGGATAACTGGGACATGTCATATGATTGTAGCACAGTCCAGTAGCACAGCGTGTGACTCGCTTATGTAGTACTGTACAGTAGCTAGACAATCATGTATATAAGGACCAGCAAGACGAGGAGGAGACCTCAGTCTTATTCTCCTTCGTCCTCCACTACCATCACAGAGAGGTCTTACCAGACACTCTCAGTGTGCTATACATTTGTTTGCATCCTCACCTTGTGATAGCACCCCTTGCCTTGCCAGTAAGTTTCATTCAGTGACTAGCAACTGGGCCTCATCAGTGGGCACGTCGTATCACCACAGCTCATCGCTGTAGGCCTTTAGCCAGGAGACCCTCAAGGGGACTCTAGTCTTGGTTGTCATTGACGTGCCGTGACAGTCTGCCCACACTTATGATGGACGAGGTCAGAGTTGAGAAAACACTGGAGGCCATCGCATTGATAGCATATCGTGAACACCTTCGTCATGCATTCACAAACACAGACAAATTCTTAGACAGTTTTGGGAAGGGTAAGTCGTGATTATGCTGGTTCACCACATCATTGAATAAATCATTTCTGCAGATGACTTTCAATACAAGAATGCAGATGGCAGCCAGGGAAATCTGCTCAACTTTTCACACCTAATCATTTGCCTGCCGAGCCTCATCAAGCAGTGAACTTCTGAAATACATACATACCTTCGGCGAGACACATTTGACCTTTTACCCTATGTTGACAAATATAAGGAAGAGCAGCACTAGCAATTCTGGGAAAAATTGTGGTCGATGTCGAAGCAGCAGGCCTCAAGGAAGATAATACTTGCATGGTTCACTGTAAGTTTTGATGAATATGTTTCTAAGACAATAAAAAAACTGAAAACAATGCTCAACAGACAGTGACCTCTGATCTTGAAGACGTATTCCTTTATCAGAAGGCAGACAAAAGTCTGCTGAAGAGAGCTGAAACATATAACAAAAAGAAGTCGAAAATGCTTCTATCTCAGAGATGTTCATTACTGATCGTTGACAAAGCTCAATTTGTGCGGACTTCCAGGAAGGTGTACACAGCCCTTCAGGTGTGGTCAGATCTGGCAGAGACGGTGGTTCTGCTGACGACTATGCCGATCGTTACCCATCCTCAGGTAAGCAAGTGAAGCTAACTCTTCTGTGCCCTGTAACCATATTTTACACAGGATATCCTCAATCTTGCACATATAATGCATCTGAAACCAATCACCACTGAGCTGATTGAGCAAGAATGCAAATGGGAGGCAACTCTCTGAAGTGCACGGATGAATCGGGTCAAGGCCACCAGGGACGAGGTGATCTGCGACAGTGTGCAGCTCACGCACGGTGTGGTCAACACTGGGGGCATGAGCTCATGATTTCACCGGGAACATTTTGGACACATTGTAATAATAGTCCAAATAATTAGACAATGTTTTCAGCGCATATATCTTGAAATCATTTTGAATGTTTTAAGATGTTTTAAGCATCAGCATTGTGGCACAATTTTGATAGCATTCATAAAGATGCAAGAATGAGACCCCAATGTTGCAGCTGACAGCATTCAAGCAATATTGCCATAACACTCTAAATGTTTCTTCAGAGAAAATTTTAAATGATATCTATGAGGGGCCATGATGTCTTCAAGATGATTCCCATTGAGTTCACTGTGATCGCATAAATGGTATTGCTATATATAGTAATGTGCTAACCATATTAGGACATCTCTGATGCGTTCAAGATGATTCCAGTCGGCACATGATGAAAAGCATCTGGTACTCATTGCAATATCACATTGATCACATTTTTAATGTACCCTTATATTTCATTCAAAATGTTGCCAACATATTTTGTGAATGCTGGTCAGAGTAAAATTGTTGTCGCACCATGGTATCTTTCTGAATAATATCACAATTATTCTACGATGAATTCACTCGAGATAATTCAAATTATTTCATAATGTTTACATCAGTAACAGTAAAGTTACATTCTGACTGTTATCATGATGTGTTCAAAATATTTCTGGCAGAATCATGGGCTCATGCCCCTGGTGCAAGGATTCCATATGTGAGGCCTATTATGTGGTGATCAAGGACATCATGAATGATGTCCATGAGCTATTCAAAGGGTCTGTGATCTGCCGCACCAGCAACTCAAAGGCCTGGGACGAAAAACTTATATCTGGCCTGAAAAAGGTTCACGAACAACTACTTCAATTGGAGCAGGAGGATTGGGAGAAGAAGGCACTGGACCAGCTCATTGAGGGTGTTTGGCGAAACGATTTGAACCTGTCGTACACTTCTGGAAGGGTGAGCATTTTTTATTGCTAGACTGTTATCGCTTATTGGGGTGAGATGTTTTGTGCGTCCGCGATGAGCACCATTGACTTAGTGCGCAAGTCACGTGAAGTGCGCATAATGGGTTCAGACGCCTATCTGAGCTGTTGGAGGAGTAATGCAGAGATGCGCATTGAGGATGTGCATGAGCTGGCATCTGCTTGAGTTAACAATGGTGAATTAACTAATTAAGTGCACAGTCATTCTATCTCGCCATCCGCAAAGTTCTGGTCTGTACAAGACTCTAACGACAATCGACGAATGGAGATTAAAGTCGTCGGCTAAAATCAACGTGCTCCTTCTGTTGCTCCAGCATCACCTGGGCATGGATAAAGCCCCACCCATCATCACCAAGGACAGCAAAACTCTTGTGCCCAGACCAGCCGATGATGAAGCTGCATCCACCGAACTTGAAGCGTGATAAGATCATCATGTTCACCGCATTCTCATCATCACTAACAGTCATTCTCCCAGTGCGCAAACTCTGTTTCACTCCTATTCTCGCACTTATGCACCCTATGACAGGTTTTCAAGCTTCATGGGATCAAACCCCTAGAAATGACGGATTCTCAATCTTTGCTGGAGCAGTGCAGAATTATCGAAAGATTCAACACGGACTTCAGTGATGATGCCGCAATTTTACTGATGTCCAACGTTGGCTTGGTGGGCTTGAACCTACCAGTTGCAAACATACTGATACTCCTGGTAAGGCATTTCATGTTCTCGTCTGATCAAATGCTCTCTGACACATACACACCAGGATTCACTTTGATCTGCACATATGCACAATGAATTCGTGAAAGCGCTGCATAAGCTCAGTAAGCCACTTTATCATGCCTTTTAACTGGCGCTGACAGAATTTGCAGAGAGACTATTTAACCCAGAGTTAGATGAGCGAGACCCTGAGGCAGAAGGAGAGGATCTGCCAGTGGCCCAAGGATTGTCTGAGCAGACTGCACAACTGCAAGCCTCAGAAAGTCAGGACGTTGCTGAGGAGCGACATCCCAAACAAGAGGATGTTCAAACTGCCCAAGGAATGGCCGACGCAGAAACTTTCTGGGATGAGCATGTGATGGAGGACATTCCTGTGATTAATGAACTGTCCACGCAGCCTGCAGAACAGCAAGTGATGGAAGACAATGGGCAAATGACTGAACAACCATCTGAGCAGACGCCAGCAGCGCCAGTCAGTCAAATTCATCAGCAGTGCATGAGTCCACCACCCGAAGACAACTTCCATCAAATGGGCAGCTCTTCGGAGGAGGAGCTGATCAAAGAGAAAGGCAAGAAACACAAAAGGCCATCGTCTGTTGACTTCACTGCTCCCCCAGCCAAAAAGAGTCTTCTGCCCATGAATAGGAATCTGGAAGCGATGGTGAAGGAGGACTGACCGTAGAGTTTGCTGCATCCCACCTAGGAGACAGAGACACTGGTGAACCATCTGTCTTCAAATAAATCAGTGCATCCTGAAGTATCCTTTGTGATACAACTGTCACTGATTTCTGTTATTTCTTTTATGCAGATCAGATTTTGAAGGAAGAGCGAGTGATGTGATCGATGTATCAGAAGCTGCAGGGTGGGCAGCCATCGATCAGTTTTCCTCCTGCTAAGACAAGGCTGTCAAAACCGAAGAGGAGCTGCAGTAGCTGCAGCGGTTAAACATGATGTACAGCGCTTCTTGTAATACATGATGCCAAGCTTTTTGTGATGACACATTTTGTGAAAAGTCAGCCCATGAGCAACTGGTCTTGCAGTAGAGCTGCAAGAGATGAGCGCATCCAGGACGAGCTGCATTCTGCTTCATCTCAAACGCATCTAGAATACAATGACCATGCCTATGTTTGATAATTTTTGCACAAGCTCGTGGATGGCCAGAGTTCAGTGGTTGATGAGAATGGTGCATTTGTAAAGCAGGTCACGATCAGTACATCCTCAGTGCCACCGACTTGCCAGAATGTCCGATCACATCAACATAGACTGGTAGCAGATGCCTTCCCGAAGGTGTCTGCAATGTGTTGTGAACGTTTCCTCTACGCTTAAAAAATATCAATGGATATGGGTGATGCACGTCCTTGACGAACAACTGCTTGCTAATGCGGGCATCCCAACGGTAGGCGCATCCAGGATGCCTATCCATACTGGGACCCTCCACCACACGTTTCACAGTGTATATGTTAGACACTCTGAAAAACACGCATCATATGAGTGCACCTTGTTGGGCAGCCATTGAGCACTTTAATTCAAGCCAAATCATCCCTGGCATCCATCCGCCATAATGCACATGTAGTTTTCCATCCCAAAATTACCTTGCTGAGTAGATCAGTTGCTTGAGCATTCTGGGTGAGTATGCTAAGAGGAAAGTGAAGAGATTTCCACAATGTGATGGTGCACACTCTTATGCGCTGCGGCCTGCATTGTTGTCATGCAGGTTCAACAGAATATTACATAGCAGGTCAATAAATATAGTACATGCACATCGGTGATCTCTATGCATTTGTCATGGCTCTTTGCACTGTAGAACACCTATCTGTGCTGCTGGGACTGGATGAGTCTCTCGAGCATGCTATTTATGTGATGGTCGGCTGTGATGAGGGTAGTCGAAGATGAGCTACTATAATCAGTGGAGGATGAAATGGCTTCCTTACATGAGGATCTGTTGACGATACAAGTCTCCTCTGTAATCATTCCAACTAGCAGGCATTCGGTAATCCTTTCTTTCATCAGCTGGACAAACAAGACATAGTTCGTGGTCACTTCATTCCCTTTTGCTTTCTTGAGCTTCTTTCGCTGTCCCTCCAGAGCAGACATATGCCACTTTTTACCAGCAGTGCTGCTCACCTCTTTGTTCGCTACCCCATGTAGGTGGCTGTCGATAACTTCTTTGATAGCATCAATGAGAACGTAACCAGATGCCACGCCACCGTGCTTCTCAGCCACTGTGGCCTGAAAAACCCACAATGTCGCACCATTGTCTGCGGGTTCGATCACAAACGAGCTGATGAGCGGGCTGTTTTTGGCTTTCGGGATGTAGAAGTGGTCGTACAAAGGCAGTTCGAGGCAAAGAGGGCTGTTGTTGTCCCATTGAAACTTTGCTATCATTCTCTGTCGAGCGGGAAGGTGAGTCGAAGCTATGACTGGCAGTTTAGTCAATTTGAAGGTTCGGCTAGTGCTTGTCATATATTTCATGATAAGTAGTGGGGGGAGTCCATTTGGAGCTGTAGTCAATCCTGAAAGGTGATTGTGCACTAACGTCTCGAAGACAAATGCACTTAACCCAGACGTTTGTGGAGACAGGAGAGTCAGCAATAAAATCAGCTGTGCCTCTTCGACACCAAGGATGCTCAAGTGATCCTGGATTTCATTCTCGATATCCGGAGACTTGAAGTTGAGGAAGAAATTGTCGCAGCTTCAATGGTCAGATCCCAGTATGACATGGACAGTGACTAGGTGATGAGAGAATGCTCCAGGACATTCGTTGTTACCGGTGAGGCCTCTTTTAAGCTCATTTCAGGTCACGTGTTGTATTGCATCTGTGTGACGATGCTCGATGGATTCTGGAATGAACAGCGCATCGTAAACATCATGCAGAGCAAAGCCGTATATCTCAGTGGCCTTCTTGAGAGCCTCTCCTATCAAACATTTTGCAAGTTTCCGCATTGATGATGACCGCCTATCAATGTTCAGCAGATGCTGTGTAATGTTGCGCACCTGTGGGTCTTGATTGACATTAGGATTGTCGAGGGCACAGGTCACAGCTGTTGCAAGTCCAGCGTAGCCTGGCTGTAGTGGAAGACTGCATTTAGAATAATTTAATGTGATGCCCTCCTCAGATGACAGGAACAGCGTACTCCATCTTGAGTTCCATAAATGCTCCTCGTTGTTTGCGCCAACTGTTATACTGACTCTCATTGGGAGATGAGGCATGGATCAGAAAGATAGACACAGAGACTAAGCCTGCACTGGGCTCTTGTATGTTGTTCTTTGAGTCTATCAATCCCCAAATATGATGCGACGCGTCATCATCACCTGCAGAAAGTTACGAAAGGATAGCTGCAGTAAACTTATGTCCCACAACCTGAAAGACTTCCTCAAAGAAGAAGAGATAGATGTCCTCGTCGTAGGCAAACACTACCATCTTCTGCTTTCTCAACAGCTGGATGAGTGCATACCACAACCAGATGGATTTGCCTAGCAAGAGACAAAACGGTTCATCGCCATCACATCAATGATAGAGACATGTGCAACGTACCAATTCTGGGTTAACTGGTGAGCACGATTCTGCCATTCAGATATGCCATGTAGAGTCACCATGCTCGATCGAAAAGGGTCTGAAAGGAGTCCAACACGAGAATAGTTTGACTGAGCTGCAAGACCGGACTGTCCACTGACCTGAGCAACAAGGGATAAGGGGCATCTTCGATGTCCTCATCGGGTTCACTTCTCCAACGCTTGAAGAACTGTTGCCAGGCATCATGGGCTCTAACTCACTTGCACTTGAACTGCTCCTCCCACACAAACCCTTCAGCTTTGTACCCTTGAGAGAATGAGGCTCAGCATTAAAGATGTTATCATGATTGAATGATCATCAAGACTCACTGCCTTTGTGTTGTTTCTTGCCATGCTTCTTCTGTAGATAAGTGACAGTCAGCAATACTACATTGTAAGAAATACTGAACTGAAAGATGCACTTTCTTCTTCTTCGTGGATTCAACCTCCTCCACGATGCTTGATTGGACCTGCCCCACTGGCTGTATTTGTACTGTGGCCTACTCACCATGAGAGTAATCCAGTATGAATGAATGAAGTTAGATACCCACGCTGCGACTACAGTTGCCTTCTTGCATTGTTTGTCTTCTGTGAACTACTCTTACTTTCTGCACCATTAGACATTTCGAAAACGAGGAGTATATGCAGAGGACCGGGCACAGTGATGCATCTGACAGGCGCACGGCCCTCGAATGCGTTACTGTTTTTGGGCAGTCAACATCACCCACAGCATTTTCTCACATTTAATTTACACGTACCCATTAAGAGGCAGACACAATATGAATATTGGATAACGAATGTGCACTGGCTCACTCATACCAGACCCTGCAACAGATCACCACCCGCAGCGCTGTCAATGTCCTTCATCACCACCTTGACCTTCTTCGTCCTATCCGCATCATCTCCCGCGTTCTCATCCTCACTCTCCACCTTCGACCCATCCAACATAAGCTCCACCATGAACTGGGCGATAGCACGCTCACCCACCTCGCTCATCGCATGTGAGCCCCAGTGCCACTCGACTGCATTCACGCCATCATCGCCCACCAGCGCCACTGCGAACACGCATCCACACTTGCTCACACCCTTTATCTCATCAATGCGTTGTCATTCAAGGTAGCCCTGCCAGAGGAGCTGTGCGAGGTAGGCGTCAACCATGAGGGATGTGTTTGTCGAGCAGCTGCTTAGCGGGAGCATGGTGCCATGTCTGAGGTTGAGGCATTTCAACAGGCTTCGAAGGTCATCTGACATTTGTATCAGGATATCTGAGTATGAGAGAGCATGCCACGGAATATGTACTGTCTCTTATGACATGACCATCTACCAAGATCAATGCTAGAATGGTGTACAGCATGCTGATCGAGCCCAGCTCATCAGACTGCTCCCAGGCCAGGATGCTGCCACTGAGTGCGTGCACAGTCCGTCGTCATCCTAGTCGGTATAGACCTCATCATTGTTCATCATATCCTCATGCTCGATCACCAGGATGTCCGCGTCTAGTGCACATGCATATTTGATGATCGCAGGGTCCAGCATCGAGCGCAGGATGTATGTCTTCGTCACCTCGCTTTATCTTGTATTATAGCAATGAAACAGCATTGCTCACATTCTGTGCGACGTCCATTTCCATGTCCTCGTCAGCTCCCTCTGCTGCTTCCTCCACATAACTTGACACCCTCGCACTGTTATCTTCTTCTTCATTCACATCTCTTCGTCGATGCCGCCCATGCTGAGACTGGCCTGGCCAGGGTTGTGATCAACTTGTTCAGACCATAACACAGAAGAGTACAGTTGAGATGAGTGCATGAAGTCCAAGTCGCGCGTGCAGCAGATGGGCATGTGACTGGTTTGAAGAATGTGTATCTCTCATACAGCATTAACTTCAACTCCACTCTTGTCCTGCATAAGTCAATCAACATGCCTTCACTACTGAAATATAATGCTGTACTCCATCTTTTGGCTTTGTTCCCATATGTGTGAATGTCGAATCAGTGGCAAGTCACAACTGCGTACACAACAGCTCCATGGGACGAGGCATACAATGGCCACATGCTGCCCGGTTGGACCTCAGACATGCAGCATGAAGTTCATGCATTTCTCATAAAAGTTCAAGTGGATGGGCTAAAGCAAGTCACCACGGAGGGAGCGCTGGCCAAGAGCAAGGAAAGAAAAGGTAAAGGAAAGAAACAAGCTGCAGAGCTCGACAACGTGCAGCCGGGTCGCAAACACTTTGAGAAATGGCTAAAGGAGAAGTACGGCAGCTGAAAGATCTTTTCACGTCTGAAGAAAATCCTGAACAACAATGACAAGGACCCTCAGACGTTGTGCATGGCATTCTGCTCAGATACGGTGTGTTCTTTTCTCTAGAATGCAATTAAGTTGACATGGCTTTTTTAGCTTCCTTCCTTGGAGGATGCAAACATTCCTCCTCTGTATGAGGTCATGGCAGTCTGAATCTTTGGAGACAAGGCAATGATGAGGCAAGGTCTGATCTGTTCGCAGATTACGCAATTTATGTGTTCATCCATGACTGTCATCTGGCAGATATGATGCACGTGAACAAAGCACAGTCTCACTAATGACAGATTCCATGGATTCTTTGATGTTATCTGGCTTGGCGTTCACACACCCTGTATTTTGCTCCCACAAAACTGTTGATCTGCCTTGACTGAGGTCTATTTTGTTCAGGTGGGTGTGCATCCTAGAGTCTATAATGTTAACGAATATGTTATATACAGCATCTGCTGTCCGTGGAGTGGGCAGTGTGACCAGTTTAAGTGGATGAAACATGTTGATCACTGTAATGTTAATGCTACTGTTGCTGCATTCGATTTTCCAAACATGGTCACTTTCTGTGACCAGATAATAAGCTGACTTCTGTGAGTTCTCTAATATTTTCATGTTCGACGTTCACATGCTCTGATTCTGCTACAGTCAACCATCTCTCATCCTCTCTGACTGGGTATTGTTCAGGTGAGTGTTCATCCATGCATAGGCAGCTTTAAAATGTTGTATACCAGATTTTATGTCTGTGGACAGCCCGATCTTCATAGGTTGGAGTGGCAATGTCAGTTTGACTGTGGTAACCGTCAATCTTCATTGTCTGATTCATCATAAAATTAAAAGTTACAGTCACATTGATGGCGCCATCGCTTCAATGCAGACATCTTTGCGAAGAGGTATCTAATGTGGTGAAAAGCTGTTCAGAGGGTGATCATCAAAGCCAAACATACTGATCACAATATAAACTATCATGAATGTTTTATATGAAGAATGAAGCCTTTACATGCCTGAAGTGTATGGCATGACTCTATGAGCATTATAGAGTATTTAAATTGACAATAATACAGGAAAGAAGGCAGATACACCTGATGAGTTCCTCATTATTCCATATGAGCAACCATGCCAGGAATGTATGGCTATCTTCCCTCAAATGCTGGTGAAGATGGTCCTGCACAGTGCAAGACACTATTAACATATTAAGAACTTCACAAATGCATCAGCAGGAATGTGTCAGCACGAACACATCAGCATGCATGTAACAGACAAGAGAGCACGTGCTCACTGCATCGCATGTACAGCCAATCAAATTTGAGATGAAGCTAAACTCAAATTAATAGATGTGCACATTCAAGGAAGAAAGCACGTGGATGATGCATCATGTGTACAGCCAATCAGGATTCAGATATAACACTGCAGACATGATGGCATTTGCAACTATGGCATATGCTGAGTTAGTCTTTTGCCTTTGTAAGTGATATTTGCAACAGTGTCATTTTGTATCTCAGATTGTGAAAATGCAATAGGATATTCAGTGATCACAGATTAGTTATGAACTTTTTGAGATATGCAAGCATCGTGCATATTTAAACAATATGTCAAAATTTAGCACTGTGAAATTTGAGTCACAAATTATATATATTAGATGACATTTGCAAGTGCAGCAGATGAAGATGCAAAGGGTATATTCAGTCAAGGAAGCTACATTCAACATTCCATAGCAGAAATTTACATAAACACATGCAACACCATTGATTCAGTCTGGCATGAGGTGTAAGATGAATTAATTCTGATGTTGAATATAGGCCTCCTTGACTGAATTTACCCTTTGCATCTTCATCTGCTGCACTTGCAAATGTCATCTAATATATATAATTTGTGACTCAAATTTCACAGTGCTAAATTTTGACATATTGTTTAAATATGCACGATGCTTGCATATCTCAAAAAGTTCGTAACTAATCTGTGATCACTGAATATCCTATTGCATTTTCACAATCTGAGATACAAAATGACACTGTTGCAAATATCACTTACAAAGGCAAAAGACTAACTCAGCATATGCCATTGTTGCAAATGCCATCATGTCTGCAGTGTAAACTGTGAGTGCTGAAACTAATAGACATGTGCATCTGAGAAAACATCACGTGGGTGACGCGTCATGCATACAGCCCATCTGAATATAGACCATAAGTGCTGAAATTAATAGATGCGTGCGTCCAGCAAAAACATCACATGGGCAACGCGCTGCATGTCCAGCCAATCGGCATCATAATAGGAACCATACTGAATTTAATGGTCAGTCTGTCATGAAGTTGTTGTAGCACAGAAAGTGACTGTGTAGTAAGAAGAAAATTTAAATTGTCTATCTGAAGCAGTAGCCTTTAGGTGGCTTACACTAAGGTGCGAAGAAATTAAGAAGTGCACGGATAAGCAACAAATTCTGATTACATTTGGTAAAGCACCAGTATGCATTAATGACCAGTAGCTCGACTTTATCACTTTTATGCACTTAGCCTTCTACTCATCAAATCCTGTCTGCTGTCCTTTCTTTGTCGATCACTCCAACAATGTTCAGTCTGGCAAAAGTCTTGTCTATCTCTCAATGTGCATTCATACATTGCCACGACAGTTCGGCTGCTCTCCACGCTCTCTGTATCTCCTCTGAACTCGCTGTCCCAATTTCTCGCTCTACCTTCAAGCAGCAAATAATCTTCACACTCCATTCCATGCTGATGGTATGGGTGACATCTGCCAGTGCACTGCCATGTCAATCTTCTTTGCCTGCTGTGCACTGCCACACCTTCAGCCTCTTCTCGATTTCATCTTTCATCTCCCCCAACGAGGCTTCTTTCTCACTGTCATCTGACCATCTTTCCAACCTTTTCCATCCTGCCTCTACGAAGTGTTCAAAATTTACTGTGTGAAGGCCTGATACCAACTCGTTCTCATCGTATTGATGTTCGTCAAACAATTCATCATCGTCAGAATCTTCTTTAATTCCTCTGGGGATTCACAGATTGAACGAATGCACCCATCTGTCCAGATTATACGAATGTTGAAAGAGATTGCCCAGATGGAATGTGCGACGTGCCAGGGTGACTAGCTCCGATGGTAGTCCTGAGATGGTATGGTGGAAGAGGCTGGCATATAATCTGGTATGAGCACTATATGCTTTTTTGTTCTGTATTGCACACCTTGCACGACCTCTGTCAAAGGTTATGCATGTTTCAGAAGTTCGTTACCATATATCCTGCTATGCCTACCTAGCTGACTGCACATATTTCTTTTGTTGCTCTCGCTTAGCTGTGAGCCTTTCATTCAGTGTTTGATACTTTGCATGACACCCCATGGTAAGTTTGGGAGAGTTGAAAAATGCTAAATTGGGGTAGCTCTGATAATGCCACTTCAAGTCAGACAGGTAAGGAATGCATTTATTGTAAATGATTATTGCTGCTGACAAGAAGCTAAAGTATATATGTGCAGCATGAGAAAGACTAGTACAGTGACAATTCACAACTGCCGCATTACAGGCTCAAGACTCAGATGAAGATGATGATGACATGCCCATTGATATGCACCGAAATGTTCTGCACTTGAAAACCCTTCTGAAAGAGCAGCTGAGGGCTATGCGACTCAATAACGCATATCTGTCAAGCGAAACAGTCTGGATGAACCAGCACGAGGGCTCCTGACTCTAAAGAACCCATGGCAGC